GGGTAAAGCTGATGACACGCCGTCGTACAGGAAGAGGCAAATCTCCTCGTGAAGTGCCAGATGTTACGACAAATTTGCAGATTAGGAGAGCCACTGAAGAGTCTGGTTGTCCTTTGAGCTCCTTGATGAGGCTAGTAGTCTACTCCAAACCCCACGGGTTGTCCGTCTGCAGTAGCGGGTCAGGGCTCTCATGCCCATGCTGTTTGTCACGTTTTCATCTGAGGGCCTGCTGATGTTCTGGGCCATCAGCTAATTCATCTTTGCCTCTCTCAGACGATTGACATATTCTGCACTCCATGAGAAGATGCTTGCTAAAAGTCGCTTCAGGAAGAATGGGTAAAGTTGATGACACTCCGTTGTACAGGAAGAGGCAAATCTCCTCATGAAGTGCCAGATGTCAAGACAAACTTGCAGATTGGGAAAGCCACTGAAGAGTCTGGTTGTCCTTTTTAGGAAAATAAGTCAATAAGTCGGTTTCACATTTTCCATGAATTTTTGTGGAAATTTAGGTCACAAGATAGAAAAAGAAGCTATAATGAGATTCTTTCACAATGTGTTCATGAACAAAGAGAAAAAAATGACACATGTGCTTGCTGTTGGTGGTACCATTTTTTTGGGTGGCTTCACCTGCCTCATCCAGCGGAGGGATGTTGGGGTCCAAACCTGCCTCGTCGTCACCATCAACCTTGTCACCCTCTGTGTCATCAGGGTAGTACTCTCCAAGCACCACATTTGTCTGGTCATAGAAGTACTCGACCCCAATGAGCTCTTCCAAGTCCAGACAAAAAGAAAGAAATGGATTATTTTTAGCACTGCTAATTTAGACTGCGCATAGAGAATGCAAGAAAACACAAGAATCTGCCATTACTTTCGTTAGCAAAATAGTTTTCAAAAAAGCTGAAAATGTTATTTCATACCAGTGTACTTCTGGGGAATGCTGAGGGTGGGGTTGATGGGTTCGCTGAGCACATGCTGTCCCAGCAAGTCAACAGTGTACTGCAGGTAGCCGCAGTAAACCCGGTATTCGGGGGCATCAGCGGCAATGGCTTCTGAAGCACGGTCTGCATTCCAGCGAACCAGTCCATCCATGAGGTGTGCCTGGAAGTGGACGTCATTGGCCGTGGTCCCTGCAGATTTAAGTCAAAACATTGATCAGATCTTTGTGTCTGTGTGTATGTGTCAATTCAAAACCTAGGATGACTGTCTACAGTTGTGGCATTTCAAAGAAGTTGAGTCTTAGTGGGAATGAATTGCTTGAAGTGGTTGTGAAAAGACTCCAACGATGTCCACCTGCAAGCACGTCGGTAGGCCTCCCATGTCTTGGTGTAGAGTTGCACCCCAGGTGGGTCCTGGATGCAGAAGATGTGCTTTTTCTGGGACTCCCAGACATCCCAGATACGGGTTGAGTCGAACAGAGGAGTGCCCATGATTTTGTCCCCCTGCTGGCCATCCAAGGTATTGATGAGCTCCTTGATGAGGCTAGTAGTCTCCTCTACACCACGGGTTGTCCGTCTGCAGTAGCGGGTCAGGGCTCTCATGCCCATGCTGTTAGTCACGTCTTCATCTGAGGGCCTGCTGATGTTCTGGGCCATCAGCTAATTCATCTTTGCCTCTCTCAGACGGTTGACATATTCTGCACTCAATAAGAAGATAGATGCATGCTGAAAGTCGCTGCAGGAAGAACAGGTAAAGCTGATGACACACCGTCGTACAGGAAGAGGCAAATCTCCTCGTGAAGTGCCAGATGTTACAACAAACTTGCAGATTAGGAGAGCCACTGAAGAGTCTGGTTGTCCTTTGAGCTCCTTGATGAGGCTAGTAGTCTACTCCAAACCCCACGGGTTGTCCGTCTGCAGTAGCGGGTCAGGGCTCTCATGCCCATGCTGTTTGTCACGTTTTCATCTGAGGGCCAGCTGATGTTCTGGGCCATCAGCTCATTCATCTTTGCCTCTCTCAGACGATTGACATATTCTGCACTCCATGAGAAGATGCTTGCTAAAAGTCGCTTCAGGAAGAATGGGTAAAGTTGATGACACTCCGTTGTACAGGAAGAGGCAAATCTCCTCATGAAGTGCCAGATGTCAAGACAAACTTGCAGATTGGGAGAGCCACTGAAGAGTCTGGTTGTCCTTTTTAGGAAAATAAGTCCATAAGTTGGTTTCATATTTTGCATGAATTTTTGTGGAAATTTAGTTCATAAGATAGAAAAAGAAGCTGTTGAATTTGACCAAATTTCATGTCTGCCTCACCTGGTACTGCTGCAGTCTGTCTAGATAATAGTAGCTCAGGAGGGGGCACACCAGCATCCTTGTGTAGACCTTGGCCTTCTGCAGCTGTCAAGACGCTCATCAGGACTTGGCCGTGCTCATTGCCAACGTTGGTAGCCCATGCTGCGGTACCAAGGGAGTGGCTGGCAAGTTTCCTTGCAACCTGTATTGAATATTTAACGAGAAAGTAAACCTCAAAACGAGGGATACAAACGACAAGAACAAACAAAACAAACTCAATTCATTTTCTGTCTTTGTGGCCATTAGCACATTTGCAAAACTTGCTATTTAGGGCATTCGCAAAATGATACCAAACTGATAAGAAACAATTGCAGGGTTACGTATGTATTAGCAAACTATTTTGTTTTTTAAATGTAGGATGANTATCATCTTCTTGGTGGAGTCAGCTTTGAGCACCCGGCCAAAAGTAGACGTGATGGCTGCCTTGGTCTCGTCGATGCACTGCAGGAGATCACTGACATAGACCAACTGTAATTGGGATGGGTGTCATGGGGGGTATCAAATGGGGGGGGGATAAGGCCATGGTTGCTAGCCTTGATAAACTTGTGGCACTGGGACAGGAAGTGGGCTATTCTCTAGAGCCAGGCTTCACTGTGCTGTTTGTGCAATTTCCTCCGCAGCTGTTAGGGGCTGTTGCCCAGCCCTTGGGACCTGAGGCATGTACCACCTTGATGTCACACCACCCTATATGTCAAGATGGCAGGAAACTGCACTCAGTGCCCAATGTCCAGCTGCCCTAGGACAGCCTGGCTCCAACTGATGACCTTTTCTTGCAGTGACAGCACTCCAGGTACTCAGCTGCCAGGTTGACGCATCCGTCGATATCCAAAATCTGATGTACCTGCAGGTACATACCTGCCAAGTGGAGTTGGACAGGTCAGCCGCAGATACCACAACTTCCGTGCCATCCAGTGGAGGGGGTGGTGCCTGAAGAACTCGGCAGCCTTGGGCAGCTGGCCATGGATGGGACGAGGCTCAGGAGAATCGAACCAGAGACAGTCATTCGGTTGTAATCAATCCCTGGTGTCCTCCTCTTTGATGAATTGAAGAGGGCCCTAGACGTCCATAGGTGGTCCTCCTGAGGCAGTGACTCCCGCCGTCCTTCCGTCAAGAGACACTCTAAAATGAAATAGATAAATTGTTATTGATGCATTTCCAAAAAAGTCACTTCCATTTTCCTCGGAAGAAGCATTTTCATTATACATATACTGACTTTGACTCACCACACAGGCAGACTCTCGCACAGAAGTCTTTGGGCCAGCACTTGATGGCTTGTGCTCTGCATCAGTGCATACACGGGAAAGGAAAAATTTTATTGTAACGAAAAACACTGCCGTCTGTTCTTAATTCCTTTGTTATGCCAATAAACCCGTACTTCACTGCACTGTATACACTATGAATTTAACTATGCTCCTCTAGCTCATATTTTCAATTTATCTCTTTCTTCCGGTATCGTTCCCTCAAATCTAAGTCACTCCTGTCTTTAAAAAAGGAGACCCTCATGATATCTGCAACTATCGTCCTATTTCTGTTCTGCCTACTTTCTCTAAGATACTTGAGAGGTTAGTGTTCAATAGACTCTTTAAATTCTTTTATACGTTTCATATTCTATCTAATCAATAATTTGGTTTCTGCCCCATGTTTTCCACAGACATGGCTCTCATCCACCTTACTGATCTCATATCTACTTCTCTGTCCAACAAACTGTGTACTGCTGGTGTTTTCGTGGACTTATTCAAAGGCCTTTGATACTACTGATCAAGAAATTCTCGTTTCCAAACTTTCCTTCAGTTGTGTCAGAGGATGCCCCCTTAAATGGTTCTCTAATTACCTGGCTGACAGGCAACAGTATACTCTCATCAATAATTTTTCATCAGCCCATGGTGTTATCACTTATGGTGTTTCTCAAGGCTCCATACTTGGTCCTCTTCTCTTCTTAGTCTACATTAATGACCTACACAATTCTTCCTCTTTGTTATCTTTTCTCCTATTTGCCGATGATACTACTGTCATTTACTCAGATTCTTCTTTCCAGTCTCTCACTCAAATTCTCAACTCTGAGCTCATTCAAGTCTCCTCCTGGTTCAAGTCCAACAAGCTGTCCCTCACTCCTGGAAAACTAAATGTATTCTTTTCAGTAAATCTAATAATCCCAATCTTCACACTTTTCCTATTGATATTGACAACACATTCGTTACCCGGATCCGGTCGACGAAATTCCTTGGCATCATCATAAACGACAATTTCACCCAGAGTTGACCACATTTAGGCCATCTTTAAAAATATAGGTGTTCTGACTTAATTTTGTGCTTTTCTACCTCCATTTACCCTGTTTTCTCTTTGTAATACCCTAATTCTTCCCTATCTGAACTATAGCAATTTTTTCCGGAAATCCTCTACTTACTGTCAGAACTAGTGCCTTTTTCTAACAGTAACAGTGCTCAATGACAATCGTGAGGAAATAAAGTCCACAGGTTCACTTTTTGTTTCTCAAATCAATTTTATTAAATTAAAAATATTTCTTCCAACAGCAATACCTCAAGGAACAATCGAAGCCAATAATGGCATATCACAAGTCAGAGGTCACTCCAAAAGTTACGATAAATTTATTACTATCCAACCGTTGCTTTTGCCACTACACCGACACCTAGGACGTCCGATTCTTATTCAAACGATAATTCCAATCTCATTATAAAATTAACAAAATCTTCACTTCTACGAGTGATGCCAGACACAAATACATATCTACGGTTCAGAGTTCATGCAATCAGCCGTGAATGAAGTCTTTGATGTCTTTGGGCACTTCTCACATCCCATCAGCTTAAAATGCTGCTCCAGCCTACAGTCTCTGGAAGAACATACATGTATATGGCGGACGGTCACTAGACGGCTCTCAGCTTTCTTGGCCCTCTCTATGACTCTCGTCTCATCTCAACATCGGAGCAGGCCGTGGTTACTGATCAACATTGTTGACTCGTCTCCCTCAAGCCAGGTTGAAAACAAACATCAAGCAGAAAATTGCCCGGTAGCCACTCTAGAAATTCTACTTATTAGCAAGCTGCACTGCCTACTACAAGCCAGACTGCTTGTTATTACAATCTTAGCGCCTGAATTGCCCTAGAAAAGAAAAATCATATCACTGCAGCAGAGCCAAGTGACAACACATCTGCACAGATGGAATTCAGGGAGACACTCTCTCATTTCCCGCCAATTCTCATAACCTTTACCACCCTTTGCATCTCATTTCCATCCCCTCAATCAAACTTGACATCATTTCCATTCTCATTTAAACATACACACATTTTCCTCAAGTTTCCTCGACCACAGGAGAACGAAGGAAAGTCCACACTTTGTATATAAAACAGGTATGTGTGTGTTGGTGTGTGGTGAAGACGCTCTCCCAGGCATTGTGTGGCAGGAAGCTGTATTGTTATGATCAGTCAACCTCGGCTTGCAAGATTTAGCCTGTTGTAAAGAAACTCATGGATAAGAACGAAAGGGTTGGACAAACTAAACGGGAAAGAAAACACATTTATTTATACTGTGGAGAACAATGGTCTTAAAACAAGGAAAGCGTGGCCTTATACTCTGACACTTACGATCAACTGATTCCTTTGATTACACTCTAGAAGCGAGCCATTAGAATTTGCACACTTTCACACCCTCGGGACCATAGGGCACCTCTCTTTTCTAGGCTCCACACATTACATGTAACTCTAAATGACATTCACAAATTTCACATCGGCATATTCATGTATAAGTTCATTATTAATTAACAAACTTCTTCCTTCTATCTTTTCATATTACTTTTCTGCAGTGACAATACTCATGGGCACAGCACTCGGTCTCTTAACAATCTTTACGTTCCTTTCACCCGCACAGCATACACTCTTAAAACACTTGATTTCTGTGGCCATGTTTGTGGAAGGGTCTTGACGAGGTTTTGAAAACAGAGTTGTCTTCGGGTCGATTCAAGGCCTCTCAAATTTTTTTTTTTGTTTCCCAATACATAGCTTAGTTTTCTTTCCTAATGTATTTCTGCCTTTTTATCACACTGTTGTGTTTTGTTTTTTTTTTCTCTCTTTTTGTAATTTTCACGTCTTCTTTCCACACAATTCCTTATGGTCATTGTTAATATAAGTACCAAATTTATTATCGTCATTTTGCATTATTTTATTTCTGTCATAAGGTATTCCCCTTTAAGTTAATTTATTGCTGCTGTTGTTTTTGGTTATCTTGCTTTTTGTTTGTCCTCTGTAAAGTCCTTTTGTCCAGGGCTTTCCAAAACAAGCCTCCCGGCTTCTGAAAAAAAACCGATACTGGTTTTCCCTTTACTTATGTATTTCTTGTTTTTGTTACTCTATAACGATTTATTTTGTACTGTTATTGTTTACTTTTCCTGATCTTAACCAATATGGAAATTAACGTCATATTGATTGATTGATTGATTGATTGATCGATCGATCGATTGAACTCATCAGTCACTTGCTATTTTTGTTGTTGGCCAGGCCCCTTTGTTCGATCGGCTGATTAATGCAATAGCCTTGGGCCCTGAAATGGATGGCCAGTGGGTTAGGGTGGAATGACTCCTGCCAAGTGGGCTTATTTGCATTAGAATAACTTTACATACTTTTTATTGTTAGGAGGGACACTATCTTGCATTTTTGACTTTGGAAAAGTACATGTACCAGGCACTTGGTATAAAACTGGACCCACCCTCACATGTGGAGGATATTTTCGCGACTCTGGTATGATTTTGCGCCCTCTATCTTGTTTCTACGAATGCCCATTTTTGTTAATGGCGTAACAAGCGCACGCATGCACTATATGTGCCATGAACACACCAACCAACCATGCTGAAGATTTGCGACTGGGTGCTCGCACAGACAACTTGCCCCTTTTGTTATTTCTGTTCTGGCTGTCACCATGCAACTTGAGTTCTATTGTCAAAGTACATACTGGTGGGTGTTGTAAGTTTATCTACATGCATTGATGTATCCCGCGCCCTTGTCAGCCATGCCTGAGCATTTTCTTTACTTTTAGAATTGTATAAATTAGTAAGTTATGCTGTATAAAATGTTAGGTGTAGAACTGGGTCTCATGAGTACTGGTTAACAGCTCCTGGATTCACTTGACTGAAACATTGATTTAAGTGTGCAATGTAGCCAAGGAATTACATGTATTGGATTAATTGGTTGCAATAACTTACTGTTGTTAAATTGATGTACCGTTGAATCCATACTGCCAAATTTTAAGTGGCTAAATGACTCAATTAATTTTTTGAATAAATGGCAGAGACCAGTTGGCGAATGGCGATCATAAATAATTCTTTCCTTTTTGTAAGTTGACATGTGTGTTCTCACTGCAGGCGGATCCAATAAAGGATTTCGATACAATGATGCTCAAAGATACATTTCAAATAAAAAAGGCACGAAGGATCAAGAAGTACCCCAGTACTGTGGGGTCCGACGTCCGCTCCGCTTGTTTGTGGGAGTGGACGGCTAACCCCAGAGTTCTGGGGGTAATCAGGAAGGGGGCCTCATTAGTCTGAAGAGGCAAAGCGGATTTGATTTCACATCAAGAAAAAGGGAAAATCTATAACGTGCTGTGGAAGAACTCGCCATGACTTGCTTCATGATGCTCGGGCAGGAACAATGTTGAATCCGAAGTGCACGAAAAGAAATCGAAGAAAAAGTTTTTAAAAGCGAAGAGATGATATACTTTGCCAACTAAAGTCGGATTAAAGTACTGCGCATGCGCGGAGTGAACTATCATTACACGGGGGTACAGATGCACTGCATGGACGTAACGTTTTGCAAAGCGTACGGTTGAGTATACATAATATGTATGTCGTAAACCAATGTTCACGCACCTTCTACATACACACTGTTGCGTGAACTATCGATACCAGGCTTCTTTTCTACAAGAATGTCAGACACCAGAAAGGGGGCACACATTCACCGGACTTCCAACCTGGAAACTCTGGTTGTGGTTGATCCACAATGCAGTAAGCACGTGCATTCAACAACACTTTCCCTGCCTTGAACTTGGCCAGCTCCCATGCACATCATTAAATGAAAAAAAAAACACGTACAGATCAATCACATTGCTCTTATGGAAAAATGTCATTATTGTATCGGATGTTCGAACTCAATAGAAAGGAATGAGCACAACTCAAACTGAAAGAAAGGAACTCAGAAACCTACGCTGTAGTCTGATAAGTGGAACTAAACTCAACAAAATTTAATGTTGTTGTTTTGTTTTAATGCCGCTTCCAGCAACTCAGGCTGTTTGCGCCAATAACTGTACGTTTATTCATACACTTTATTAATCAGCATCACATTACGGAGTTAGGAAGAAGGTCCATCCAGTTTTAGAGGCAGGAGGAAACCGGAGTACCCGGAGACAACCTGCGAGAGCGAGTATGGACTGGAAACCAAATGCACTTAAAGCTTGGGCCAGGCTGGGACTCGAACCCGGGCCTCATTGGTGCAAAGCGAGGATAGAACCGCCACGCTAACCCGCTCCCCCAACAAAATTCAATCATTTACACTTCTCCTTTTATACACTTGGGCTGGCCGCCAGTGAGGACCGATATATGCAAAGTAGTACCAAATTAACATAACAATGGATATCACAGTCATCAAACAGGGAAGCGGTCATAATTTTCATATGATAAAATGGCAGTTTCCTTTCGCATTTATGGGAAAAAATCGTCTTTCGGGAGTTCTTTTCCGGCGAGAATGCCCAAAGTAAAAAAATAAAATAAAATGCGTCGATGAGGGCGGCAGACAAATCTAGCTATTTGAAGATGTCAGGATACGGCTCTCGCTCGGTACCCCAGAATTTCTTGACCTTGCGGCCATAATGAGAGATTTTATAGCACAATATCAGAGACAAGTAAGTGAAATATCATTGTCGGCAAATGACTGCGGCGTCTGAAATTCATCAGGACCTTACTCCTGTTCAAATTGGGACGGTCCATACGACCCAGTGTTGATCAACATTATCGATGTAAAAGAAATTACAAGTAACTCACTGTCTGACCTCTTAATTCACAGTTAATACGAGCGATTCACAATAGTGCGCCACCAAGAGTTTGCAACGCATTTGCAAATCAGAACGCGCGAAATTTGTCGACCCTCTCCAAACGCGCAATGGGTCGACAAATTCCGCGCATTGTGATTGGCTAACGTGTTGCAAACTCTTGATGGCGCACTAAAACGGCCGTATTGCGAGCAAGCGCAGCGCTTCCGCGTTCCCCGAAATTATGAATCAGTCGTTAAATTGCAGAGCCGTAATGTGACATCATCAAACAGGCTTCTACTGGATGCTCCCAACAACTCTTGTTTCCAGTGTGCCTGATATAAAGGCGAATTTTAACTCGTGCTTTTGACGTACGGTAGCAATCTTTATTTAGTTTTTACATAATGAATGGTTAAACTGCATGGATGTTTATCTAAATTTCATAAAAAGTGAAAGTATGAATTACCAATGTGATCGTTAAAACGTATGTCTATTATGAGGCCTACTGTACCGAAAACGTATATCTAAACAAGAAACAAATATGGCCGCGTAGCACTGGGAAGATGAATGTAGGGAATTGAAGATAAACCGTGCTCATCGGCTTAACGGCTGACTTTTTGGCATGACTGGGCCTTTGTCGGCGTAAGTGATATTGGCGATTTGAAGTTCAAACCGCCAGGTAAATGAGCCATTTTGGTATTCCAACAGCGCATGCCCAGCACGAGGCCAATCGCGAACAGATGCATCAGCGCAGTCGTACGCTGATACTTGAGCGCTTTGTATTTGAAAAAAAACCATTTGCTTTTTGG